TAATCATCTATCATCTATCTATCATCTATCTATCTATCTATCTATCCTGTCATCTATCATCTATCTATCATCTATTAATCATCTATCATCTATCTATCTATCTATCTATCTATCTATCTACTATCTATCTATCTATCTATCTATCTATCATCTATTAATCATCTATCTATCTATCTATCATCATCATCTCTATCTATCTATCTAACTAGAGAGATAAAAAAGGAGGAAGAGGAAGACAAGAAGAAGTTATTGTCTGCTAATAACTTGAGAAACAGTTTTTCAAGGAAAAATTTTATTTTTATTGAAGTATTTTTAATTTGTTCAAAAATGAATTTGAACTAAGCAAAGAATCTAAACTAAGTTCTTAAGAACTGCTGAAGAATCGCACCTATAACTCAGTGCAACACAGCATGAAAAATAATGTTTTAGCTGAAGGCCTTTATGTCTTTTAAAATGCAAATACCTCTACCTTCATATGCAATCAGTCATTTATACATTAATGTGAGTGAATTTATTAGACATCTCTCCCAGGTTAATTTAGAAGAGGGGAAGGTAAAGATGAACTCAGCCGCTGCAGAGACATGGGGAAGATTAAGTATTAAAGCATGGATCCCTGAACATCAACTTGCCCTGCTTCAGAGTTTCTCTTAAAAGCTGTGCCGTCTATGTTTAATACACTCATTTGTATTTATAAACACACACAAAGAAAATGTCTACTTAATTAGGCGAATGTGAGTGCATGTTTTAGAACTGTATCCAAATATTTTACTGTATCTCAATGGAATGATAACATAATTAAGCGAATTACTTATAATTTTGTTCAACTCTGAATTAAGTCAGCAGCAGAATTTCCAATGAAAACGCTGATTGAAAATATTCTGATTTTATGAGTACACAAAGACTGTAAGCAGGTGAATGGCTCAGGAATCCCAGATCATGGACAGCTCAATATACTGAAGACATCATGCGGTGAACCCAGTCTTGTGTCTTTGCTCATGCTATTTCTTCAAATTTTTAAAAATACTGCAAACTTTCTCTTAACATAAATCTTTAAATTGAAAAATAATTTGTCTGTATTTATAAACATATTTATATGATTCTGTCATGTCTCCTGTCCCCCAAAACACTTTTTAAATTTAGAAAAAATAACCATTATTCCAAAATACAGTAAAAACTTAGTTGAAACTTCTGGCACATTTATGTAGAAGTATATTTGAAAAATTGTGAGAAAACATGACAATAAAGCAGGTCTCAAATAAGAAGAGAATTAAAGTTACATTATTATTTCATTTCTTATTTATTTTTTGTGTAGAAATTGTTGATATGGATATAAAATGTCAATATAATTCATTCAAAATGGCAATAGAATTCATTCTAAAGAAAATACCTGTAGTGTTTTTGTCTAAATTTGTAGTACTTTAAAACAGCTATTGACATATTTAATAGCCCAGATGTTTCTGTGTTAAGAAAATTTTTACAAGAAAATGACATAAATATTGATATTTACAAAAGGGACATGTATGAATTTTTATTAGTAAATTTATTTTTGCACATTAAGTATAATACTTAAGAATGTTAAGCAGATTTAAATTCTAACTTAGGATCATTTTGAGATATGCATTCTGTTGCAAAATACTTCAATATGAAAATTTTTACTTTATAAAATTAGTATAAAGGAAAGACTATATGGTGATTGATTTCTTCATATTCAGTTGAAATATTTATCTTTTTTAAAAAAAAAACTATTATTTTTTTCAAAGTAACCGAATACTCTATTCAAAGCAAAGGGAGAGTACAGTTTAAAAAGGAATACACTGTCGGGAGTGACAGTGGGCTATGTGAGGGAATATTCATTCAAGAGGACCAAATTATTGTTTGAGGCTTCTTTTTATGGGCTCTAACGGAAGTAGGCACTAGTTACTAAAGGGCATAGTTTGGGTGGTTATTTTAATTGACAGATCCAGCTATACTACAGCATTATCATCATCATTCTATTATGGTATATTACTCTGATGTTGCTGCAATAAAAGAAAAGTGACCAAGGCAACTTATATAAAGAAGATTTTATTTTTATGTGTATGAGTGTATTGCTTCCAGAGTGTAGTGCAATGCCAGTAGAGGTCAGAAGAGGGCACTGAATCCCTTGGAACTGGAAGTACCCACTGTTGCTAGCCGCCATGTGGGTCATGAGAACTAAACCGGGTCTTAACAGCTGAGCTGTCTCTCCAGCCCTGAAATGTTTGTCTTGAAATACAAGTAGATCAAGACTATAAACATAGTCAGTTAAGAAAAGGAATAAAAGTTGGGCCTAATGAATTCTAAACACACTTCTATTGTTCAGATGAAGGTGTTCAAAAACTGCAGTGAGAAAAATGTATTTCGGAGCCACAAACCCTACATCTTCCCAGTTCCTCATTTCTCAGGATGCAGGAGAACTCTAATAGTTCCACAGCAGAAAGAAAGATGGGAATAAAAGAGCAAGTCCTTCACAGACCTCTGACGAGAGTTGTGGCTGGTGCCTTTTTGGTTTATTTCAAGCATGCTTCCAGTGGGGGTCTCAACTACGAGACCAGACAGATGGAGTGTTCAAAGCAGTTATATGCAGGATTTTACACACTTGCCTGGGAGGAACACAGTCACACATCTTAGAAACTTGCAGAGCTCTGTAGGTGAAGGTACTTGTCAGCTGAGCCACTAAATTCAATTTGGGTAAATGGAATGTACACATGTGAAATAATCTGTCTCTATTATATAAGATTAGTTAAATGCTTTGCCTATGTTCCCCATCCTCCAAAAGACTTCATAAAGTTAAAAAATATTACATTCCAAAATGTAATAAAAACCTACTTAAACTTCTGATACATTTATACAGAGGTATATTTGACTATGTGTGACTATTGCTGAAATATATTGGCCAACGAGGAAAAGAAACCTGAAAATATTTTTGTCTATATTATTTTATGTGTGCATGTCACAAAATATTTTAAGTTTAAGTTGAAAGACAATCGGCATATATGCAGTATGTAAAAAAAATATATATAATATATTCTGGAATTATATAATATAATGATAGAATATGATAATCTGTATAATTAGAAAAGTTTTTAGTTTGGTCTTATTAAGCTGCTAACCTAATTCTAATAATCAGAATATTTTCAATGATCATCTTAGAAATTTACTCATTTTATGCTTAAATTGATAATTAAGTAAATACCACATTAATATCTAAACTTCTAAAACTAATAATGGCATGTATTTCTACTTATTCATGTAGTATCAACAGCTCATTTTTCTCTATATTTCTTTTTCAAAATGCTATTTTTCCTCTGTATTTTCATACAGTCATACTGCATTTAAAATATAAAATATTTTTGTCGTTTGATGCCACCTTGATTATACTAACTTTCAGCTATTCAGGTTTACTTATACATTTCAGAAGCATCAAAACCTCCTGCCAGAGCTGGAGAGATGGCTCAGAGGTTATGAGCACTGACTACTCTTTCAGAGGACAGGGTTTGGTTCCCAGCACCCATATGGCAGCTAACAGCTAACAACCATCTGTAATGCCAGTTCCAAGGGATTTGATGTTCTCCTCTGGCCTCCACAGTCATTGCACCACATGGGTGCACTTACATACATGCAGGCAAAACACTCATACACATTAAATTAAACAACAACAGCAACAACAACAACAACAACAGCAAAAAACAGGGTCTGGAGAGATGGTACAGTGGTTAAGAGCACTGACTGCTCTTGCAGAGAATCCAGGTTCAATCCCCAACATCCACATGGAAACTAATAACCATCTGAAACTCCAGTTCCAGGGATCCAGTGCCTTTCTGACCTCTGCCTGCATTGCACAACATGGGTACACTAACACACATTCAGGTAGTACACTCAAACACAAAAAATAAAAATGATAAATATTTCAAAACACAAATTACCAAATAAGCCTCCTGTCATTGTTAGATTCTAATAAATTTATTTTATAAAAGACATTCAATGCTCTATTCTTCCACGTCATGATACTAAATTCAACCTACCAGGAGTCATTGCCTTCTGTCGAAACCAGCTGCAGAGAGAGCACCAGCAAGTTTGCCAACCCTTTCATATCTTATTTACTTACTGTCTTACTCATTCAAGTCTTCAGAGCTACAGCCTCTTCATGTTCAGTCATCGCTGCACTGAGATAGAAAGTTTTCTACTTACTTAGGTATCTACTTCCTTATTTCTAGGTTCTGACTCTGTAGAACCCACAATTTATCCTCAAACTCATGGTAATCCTTCTGCCTTAGCTACCAGAATTATGGGATTAAGGTGAGAACTCTCACACCTGGATTAATATGCTTTCATTTTTCTTAGTGCTGTTTCTTTTTATAATACATATAAAGCACTGCCATGGCCCGATGTGAACTATATTATAATGGAATTGCCCATATTCCCCAATAGCTAGGTTTCCTAGTTTGTTATTCCTTTGCTCTGTTTCCCAGGTCTTTTTAACAGTGGATATTAACTTCCTGGAAAAACATAAAAGATACTGTGAGATACTGTAACACTCTCTTATGTATAGTACTTGGAAAAGTAGGTTAACACAGGATCATTTGAATGTCATAACTCCCCTGAAGAGACAAGAATAAAGTCTTTTTAGAAGACAACTTTAGAAATGCCATAACTAGACCTCTTTAACACCTTGACCAGGATGAGTTTATTCTAAAACAGCTCACTATACAATATTTTCTAATTTTTTTTCACTACATATATAACATGTTTTTTATTTTGCATGGAAAAATCTTCTTACCAAAGAAAGTATAAAAAAAGGGAAAATAACATAAAAGTATATGTGATTTTAGAATCCACTATATGTTAATTGTGTATATGTATCTTATGAAAAAAAAGCTACCTAAATATATACATTATTATATTTCAGTGGAAGACTTTACTTAAGGTAGCATTTGAAACAGGGTTAATGAGCTTTCTAACATAATTGTAAGAATCTTTACCTTGACTTGCAAACTTCAACTCTTTGACATCTGTGAGCGTGGGCCTTTTGTCAGAGCCTTTTTTCTCTATTCGTCGATGGCTTCTTCTTTTTTTAGACTCTCCCCAAAGATTAGAGCCTCCATGCATGCTCGGTATATTCAAAATAGCAATTCCTTCCAGAGAGATGTTTATCAAATCTATCTGTACTCCATCACACTGATCAAAAAAAAAATGCAGATGATGTAAGATATTTTGTCTTTCTTTGATTTATTCTTATTTGCTTCCTTGATTTTTATTAAGGATTTTTAAAATTCATAATCTTTCTAAATAAGTCCTTCAAGAACACTTAGACATAGATCCCAGTGTCTAAGCATGTGCTAACATTAACCAGTTACCATTAATAATAGTTAAAATAATAAAATCACAGATATATCATTGTTTACAAAAAGGCTTTGGGAGAGAGACTACCTTCCCATGTGGTCCAAGGAGGTAAAATCTGGGAAGGTAGAAATTTTAATGATTGTTGCTTATTTAAAGCATACTGCAAGACAGTATTTTGGAAAAGGAAAGGGAATTTTTGAACATTTTTTTTCTCTCTCTCTCTTTCTTTCTTTCTTTCTTTCTTTCTTTCTTTCTTTCTTTCTTTCTTTCCTTCTTTCTTCCTTCCTTCCCTACCTCCCTTCCTCCCTTCCTCCCTCCCTCCCTCCCTTCCTCCCTCCCTTCCTCCCTCCATCTCTTTCTTTTTTTCCACAGGGTGTCATGAAGTTCAGGTTATCTTTAAACTCACTCCATAGCAAAGGATGACTTTGAACTCCTGATCTTCCTCCCTCCACCTCCCCATCCCAGACAGCCACAACCACACCTGGCTCTGTTTCCTGTGTTAAAATGATTTTAATGGCAAAGAATGAGTGTCTTGAAAGACTTTCATAAAGAAAAGGAAAGTAAGTAGAAAGCAGTAATCACAGATATCCCAGTCATTTTGGAGTGAGCAATGACGGTTTCTTAGACTAAATTCTAAGAAGGACATCCAAAGCAACGTGCGGCACAGCTGTCCGAATGAGGTGGATGAGCAGGTGAATTGAGTGAGGGCAAAGGTAGGAGGAACAGTATGAGGAATGCCAACAGCAGCCTATAGGTGCTGGGATGGTGGAACTTACTAGATTTTTGTAATTGTAGCTTGCCTAGTGACAAGACACCCTATTGAATATGAAAAATATGAAACTTGTTCCCAGACTGTCCTGTTCTACAGTCAAAATAGTCACTTCTTGAGGCTTTGAATTTTCGGAACACATGTGGAGGACAGCAAGGCTATTCTGAATCTTTTAATAGTATTTACTTGCTTGCATTAGGTTTTCTAAATTGATACAACTATCACAGAAATTTTTCTTCTTTTTTTCCTAAGTCAACATGAAGAGAGATATACATTTTTACCTGTACACGGGATAAGTGTTTCATAAGTTTCAATGTATCAGCAATGGATCTACATCCATCCCCATTTCTTATTATAGTTAAATCATCCACACTAACCACCATTTACTAAAAAGCTGTTACTTTTAGACTTAGCATAATACTCTGTGAAACTCCAACAACACAAAACGGAGACCTCTCTTTTCCACATTAGCCTCATCCTTCCGAATCTAGGGCTGCATCTTGTACACACACACACACACACACACACACACACACACACACACAAGCTTTGAAATAAAGTCACACATCTTGCACCCATTTGGCAGGGGTAGTAACAATTCTAGAGAAAGAGCCAAGTTTTCATTCAATTTGTTTCCATGAGGGGGAACCAAGCTCTGATGATGCATTTCAGTTTTTACAGAAACAAGTACTTTTTTTCTCCTTTCATGTATTAAATTAAGATCATTTCTTTTTACTAAAGATTTCTGCTCTTGTGTATACTCACTTACTGCTATATATTCTAGATAAACAGATATTAATTTCATAATTAAAAGTAATCTTGTGTAAATACCCTGCAGGCCTCAATGAATCAAACACATACTGTGTGTCAGGCCTCCCACTGTCTTCAAGTGGAATGTACTGGCTGGATAATTAGATAGTACATATTTTTTAACCTTATTTGCATGCATATTATATCTTTTGCACACTGACAAGCAGCAGTAACAACAAAAGTCAGATTACCACAGGGAATTCCCACAAAGAAGTCTTCATTCCTTATAATTTGCAGCCTAAATTAAAATAATTTGATCTTTGACAAGGATGAAATGTCAAGCAGAAGGGGGTCCTCTACAAGCCACAGCCTGTGGCTTCTGAAATCTGCCTAATTTATGTCAGTCACCTCTTAATACATATTTAAGTATTACACGAAAAAGATGATAAATATGCAATCTGACACCTTTGGTATTTCCCTGCTGTTAATTTATAAAGGTCTGGCTTCCCCCAAACTGACTAAAATCATTTAAATAACAGAAGAATTGTGAAATAAGCTGGAGCTGGGCCTGGCTTCCATTTCCACTCAATATTGAACACAGCAGGCAGTACACTAAGACAATTATTTGACTAGGTCTTAGCACCCCGCTGTGACAAGTTACTTTCAAAATTAGTGAAGGAAGATTCCTTTGTTCATCTTACAGAAAAGGGGCACATGCTGCAGACAGGGTTTCTTCTTCATTCTAATTGAACTAGAGACACTGTGTGTGCCAGTGGAAAAGCGCTGCTGTTCACTGCCATCCACGGTTTCACCATACACAGCCATGCTATACGCAGCTTTAAGGAAATAAGTAAGTCATTCTCTGAGAAGGAGGAAAACCCACAATCAAACCTCTCAAACAGTCCTAAGAACAAGGAGTCAAGAACCCTCACGTCCCTTGGAGAGCAGGACAATATAGTTAAATAAATTGGTGTTTATTAATGATTTGTTTCCACTGGTTCTTGACCGCAGGCCACCTTCCCCTGTTCGCTTTAGCATCATGCTTTTAGTCTGGAATGCTTTGTGCTAGTCCTGATGGAGACCAGGAATTGGAGCACACAAGTAGAGTTCAGGAAAATAAAAGCTGAAAGGAATGCTACAGAATATAAACAAGGTATAAGTCTGTGTCAGATAATATTTTCATAAGCTTTGAAGAGTTATGATTTTTTTAAAAAGTAGCTAAGAGGAAAAGAGTATAAAAACCTACATGCTCAATTCAATGAATCCTGAATATTTTTATTATGTACAGCAAGGTCATTAACATCTGGTGCCAGAGAGCATGTAGGGAATGTGATGCTGTGAGGCCTTCTCTCCCCAAATTTAAAACAGGAGATCTTATTTTCAAAGCAAAATGACCTAAAAGGGATTAAATTCTTTCCACAAATATGTATTAGTCTTAGTTTATAAACATTGGAGAGATGTGATGAGAAATAATCAATGATAAGGTACATATTTTCTATAAAGAGTCAGCTTCTATCCTTGTGTCAGATAAAAATTATTCATAATTTTAGTCAATGAAACATGAACTTTACTCAATGGAACATGAACATGCCAGGTGACTGGGAAGCTGGGTGATCTGGGAGTATGGCACAGAACCTTTAAGAATTCTGTTTCCCAGGTTCATGGGCAATAACTATCTCGTCTTTCAAATCCTGTCCTTCATTTCTTATCTATGATGTTTAGATATTTATTAATTCTTGAGACCACCTTATTATTTTTGACAAATCTCAGTATGTGGCAGTGAAAATTCTTGGCTTTAACATTCATTATCTTCTTAATCTCACTAAAACCCAGAAGAATCAATGTCCTATGACATGGGCATTCTTAGTAACTCATTAACTTTGGTGCATGGAGCAAAAGAAAATATTTGTGAGCCTCATATCTCTAACTTCAGATGCTAGCCTGAGGTACTTAAGTAGCTTAAACTGGTCCTCCAAAATACTTTAACACAAACACTGCTTTTCAAATCTTTTCTTGAAATGTCAAAGGTTTTCATTTTATTTATATTTTATCATTTAAGTAAGGTGGAAGATAAATAAGATTCCTGTATATAAACATAGATCCAGTTGATTTTTTTTCTCACATTTAAATATTTTGGTAATGACATAATTATTTTTTCTCTTAAATTACTAAAAAAAACTCCAACCTTGCAATGGAGAGTTAATATACATATCTGGTTCAAAGCGTATGCATGAAGACCAAATCAGATAAAGCAGGTGTAAAGCTTGGTACCAGGCATAGGTAGATTCTAATAATACCCACTTTAGCTGTGATTATAAAGTACAGTCCCAGGATATTTATTTCAACCCAAACATTTGCTCATTTTAGAGAGAGCTCCCTATAGGAAAGAAGAGTGTGGAATAAAAACACACAGAGAAAATGACTTTTTTTTTTTTTATGAAACTTCCAATAAAACGCATCATCGTTGCTTGAGATTCTCTTGTTACTAGCGTGGTTCATCTTTCATTAGCCATTTTTCAGACTATAGTTGGTATGATTTTAGGCCACGTAGGAAGCAATAGCAAGCAGAATCAAATTTCCGAACTGCTGATTTCTTATATTTAATTATGAAGTAACCTTGAGGGTAGAAATGCATATTCTGCTAATATGATAGACTGGATTCATTAAAATGTGAGGAGAGAGGCAGACTTGGTACCATACACACACACAAACACACACACACACACACACATACACACACACACAATGACATACAACAATATAATGGGGAACACACACAATGTTGACCCCAATTTATAAATGCTATTGTAGGAGTTCTCAGAGCAAGCCAGAAATTCAGAGACAGGAAGCTAGACTTGGAAAATATGTCAAAGCACAACTCTATGAAAAATAGCTTAGTTCTAGTTTGATTTCTTGGAGAGTAGCCTAAATAGATTTTTCTCTATACGATATAAACCTTTATGGAACAAAATCATTCATTTTATTGTTATTTAGAGCTTTAAAAATCCACATTTTTGTCAAGTGTGGTGACGCACATCTTTAATTAAATGACTCAGGAGGCAGCTGCGGGTGGATCTCTGTGGTATTAAGGCCAGCCTGGTCGACATAGAGAGCTCAGGTCAGCTGGGACTACAGAGAGTCCTGTCTCAAAAAACAAATAAACAAAAAAGTCAGTGCTTTCTATATCTATTTTCATACATATTTCTTTTGCTATCTAATGCAATTTTTCTTGAATGCTCTTTTTTCTTTGTGAGACAAATAGTACTGCTCTATAGTTGATGGATTTTCAGTTTGTGCATTGGGACAGGCTCAAAGAAGGAGATGGTGAGGAAAGTCTAGGGTCTGCAATTATATTCAGAAGAGTAATGCTTCTAAAGCTTTTAGTTCTGTTTCTGTTATAGATTTTCCTTGAACATATTTTTCAGAGAAATGTTCAAAATCTACAATATAAAGCTTTGTGAACATTATGGTTCTGAAATAAAAGAGCTAGTTTAATTTAAAAATTACATGTACATGTACTATTACTGCATATATAAAGATATGTTAGGAGCTGAGCGGTGGCTCAAAGGGTAAAGTGAGAATCTCAGTTAGGACCCCTAGCACCCACGTAAAACTTGTGTGCACAATGTGTTCCTTGTAACTTCTGGGATGGGAAAAGGAGAGAGGCAGATCTTTGGAGCTCGGTGGCCAGCCAGTCTAGACATATTGGTCTCAATGGATGCTAAGTTAAGGAAGCAGACCTTATCTCGAAAGATAAGGTAGACAGTAATAGAGGAAGACATGCCGTCAACCTCTTGCCTCCATACACATGCTCACACATATATGCACACACACATAAACATGTACATACATAGACCCCATGCACAAACAGAATAATAAAAAACAAAGTAAAGTAACATTAACATGTACAACTACATACAGTATTTACTACACTGCATATAATTAAGAGATGTTATACATTATTAACAATATATGACTTAGTATCATTCATAGTTATTCATATGTAATACATGCAGAGAGATGTCATTATATATAGAATGACATAAGGCACATTATGACCCCAAATCCTTAAGCTGTGAGCCAGCTCATTTTCCAAGTTATAATTTAGCTTAGTTTATGAAGGGCCTTCTCTTTTCATGACTGTCCAATCTACTTCTAATTTATTTTCTATTTATGATTAGAACAAAATACAAGGCTACACTGAGAATATAATTTTGCAGTGTCTTCAACTGTAAATTAGAGAATTAGGAATTTTTAGAGCCTAGCCAGGTCATTATGAATCCATGAAGCCCATATCTACTTCTGTTAAACAAATTGTTACCTGAATACTTGTCAATAATGACTTAGACACCAATAGATAATTTTTATAATTGCTTTAAAATTAAAAGTGCCAAAGCGAATATTTCTCAATTTTTGTCACTAATTATTAAGTATTCATATTTTCTAGTTCTATTCCTCTGCCTTTGTCTTTACAACCTCTATAAAAGATTTTTTTCTTAATTCTTAAAAATCCTTCAAAATGTCATTTTCTATCAGAATATGTCTTCAAAAATTTTAGTGCTACAGTATCTGGGTATTTTTGGTAGACCTATTGGCTCCAGGTCTTTTTTAAGTGTGTCTTTTTCTATTATCTTTGCTCTTTCTTGGAGTTTTCACATTCTATATATGTAAGAGGGAATGGCAACCTAGGGAACCGAGAAAGTCAATTCCGTAGCTAATAAATGGAATGGAATGGGAAAATAGATTTTAACATTTATTCATTAATGTAAGTAGAATTTTAGTGAACTGTGCTTTAAAGTTATGAGGTATTGAAACCTAAAAAATAGCTACCTCTATTTTTTCGTATCTTGCAACATTTTTTTTAGATTTTCTTCAGCTACTATCTTTTATTATCTAACATCTTCACGCTATGCTCTAGAACCTCTTCACGGATTTCCAGAGTTGTATTCCATTTTACTGTTTTACATGGCATTAAAATAACTAACACCCACACTGACCTTTAATATCAGATAGCACTACTCCTTATGAGTGACCAAAATTATGTTTTAGAAACTTAGCTAAATCTATTGATATTTAGAGTATATTAAAGTATATTAGAGTTAAAGTATATTTCTTTATTTGAGCCACAGCACAAACAGGTTAGCAACCAAGCACAAACCATTTCATACTATTGTAAAAGTGAATTCATTTTTCTTACTTCTATTTCTACAGATTCATGTAACTTCTTGCATGTAGCTGAGAAGGTTTCAGATGTGCCAAACTCAAAATACCAAAATTTGTTCTTCATCCTGTTGGAGGAAAGAAAGAAGTAGCTTAGACAATCATTACCAGAAAGGATTTAGAAAGATAATCTCCATCTTTTTGTATAAATAACAGGAAAATTGAAGAACATGTGATATCTAAATTTAATGGATGGTCACATAAGTTTCAAAATTTGAATGTTGTTGTTGCCTTGTATAAAAGCCTCTGAGATTACAAGCATATTTTGATCTGAAAGAGTCAAGTATATCTTTGACTTTTCTATTGGTTCATCAGTTTTTGTTATATGATATTAGTACTTATAATAATTCTTATGTCTTAAGCAACTTGATTTTAGAACTATTCACTCTGTAACCAAAAAGAGGAAGAACAAAACACTCTGAACTTTTCAAGGGAAAAAGAGACAAGTCTGAAATATGCTAAAATGTTTATATGGTTATGTGATTATTAGAAATGGAAAGAATTGGGAAGCATAATTTTAAAAAGAAGAAACCATTGGTTACCATGAAGCTAGGATAACCATTAGTTTTATTATTGTTTTGTTTTGTTTTTAATTAGAAGAAGCATTTCTTTGCAGCTTTAACACACTCAATAACAATTTCCAGAGCAAAGATACATCTTTTTCAAAAGTGGTTATAAATTTTTTGGGTTCACAGTTGAACTAATACAGTTATACAATATTGAACTCAGTATAAACTCTGTAAGACATAAAATTGAATGAGTTCTTAACCTTTAAAAAAGATCTCCATTTCATTTGAAAACATACTGTTTCTTAAAGAAAGACTCATTGTTTAGAAGACCCTGTACTCTTTCATATGAATAAAAGCAGGAAACTTACATAGTCTGAAAGAATTAAGCCTGCAATGATAATATCCATATAGTAGAAGCTGAACAGAAAATATAATAAGAAAGATTTCAGCACTAAATCTTTATGTAATATCATAATGTTTTTCTTCTATGTCCCAATGATGATATATTTGGCTCTTCGTGCTAGGTAATTAAATTCATGATCACTTAATGTAACTCTACAGAGGTTGACTGGCTTTCATATTATCTAATAATGCATTAAAATTCATTTTAGTGAATAAATGCAGTTTTAATTATACACATTTATAATAAGGAATCATGACCTCAATTAGAAAAAAATGCAGGTAAAATGACATACATATTTTTCACATACTAACACAGTATAGAAATTTTGTGAGAATATTTAAATATATTTGCAGAAATTCTTCTGTTTGACTTATAAATATTGATATCTTACTATATTTTATTGAATTGTAAAACATTTTAACAAAAAGACTGTGCAAAGGTGTTACTACTTAAATGAACACTATCATTGTTTTGGGGATAAGATATGGAACATAACATCGAGCTTAACATTATGCTATTCTGAAATAAATACTCTGACACCAAATTACTGAATATGAAAAAATCTTATGTTATCTGTCTAGACATACTCAATAATGTTTATGCTCATGCATTCAAACTAATAGTCTGAAGAAAAATGTAAGTGTATTTCATAATATCCTAGTACCATGAACTCTTACTCATTTCCAGGGAATATTTTTACCACTTTATGGACCGATTCATATATGTGAGAAAATGGAAATAATAGTTAATGTGTGTCTCTGCGTCTCTGCATCTATAAATATTCATATTAACTCAGTGCCTCTCTCTATGTAACAGACATACTTTTATGAGTTTACACTGACTGAAGGCATATAAAATTATAAAAATTTTCTATTCACTCACCATTATAATAAAATTATACCCTTCTGTCAGTTGAGCAGAAAGTATTGGTCTATGTTCAATGCCCTCAAGACATCCTTTTTAAATAAAAATTTCATTAATGAAATTTTATACATGTATACAATGTATTTAGATCATAAATGAATAGATTATGATTTTTGAAATTAGTTTCTATAATCAGCAAGTATAACATATTTGTGTCAGCTCTTTCTCCAGAACCTCCTGGATTCATTCATTCATTTGTCCATTCACTCAACAAGTGTTCAGCAGGCCATTGTCCACCTCACATTATTGTATTAAATTCTAAAAATGGAAATTCCACTGTTTATGTAATATTAGTTCAAAAGACGAGTGTGTTGTAAGATTACATGTATATAAAATAATAATTAGAAATTTCCCAGTGAACTATGAGCATCATTATGTGGGAATGCACAAAATAATTCAACTAATGTTCCTTCAGTGAATCAAAATTCTCTATAAGAGGTGATGTATTAATGTGGTACTAGGAGGAGGCAGGAGAAAGGAAGAGTTGGGTTCTGGGCACCCAGGGCTGTGCAGTCTGACATAGAATGCTGAGTAAGGACTAACTAGTGCTGTGGGATCTATTTCAAAACATTCAAGCCAAAGTTAAGAAGTTTCATCTTTAAGATTCAAAGAAACTGACAGAATTTTATGAGTCAGGCACTAATAAAGGCAGGTTTATTTTACTGTCAAGTAAGTCTAACAGAAATGAAGAAGTGGGCTGCTCCACTAGAATGCTGGTGTTGTTGAAAGGACTGTCTTTTAGAACAGCCCAAATGAAGGAGTAAAGCAAGGCAAAGGGAATCAGAGACACACAGTTCACGGACATCGAAGATGTAGGATTCACAGCAACTGAGGATGCTAATTTACGCTTCTGCGTGCTATACTTACGTCACCTCTGAGCACATATGCCGGAAGACCAGACTGACTCCAACATGAAAAACCCATGGGCTCACAGTTTGCGGGTTGTGTCATCTAAAATGTGTTTTGTATTGTAGCTGGAAAATTACATGGATTAAAGTTCCATGCAAATGATTATTCCTTTTTTTTTCATTCTGTCAATCAGTTTATCATAGTTTCACGTGGAGATTGCTTCAGTCTACAAAAACGCACTTGCTTTCAATTCTGAGAATTTACATTCAGCCTCTGTTCACCATATTAGTTAGCATTACTGCTCATGTGCAAAAGCTACTTTAAATTCTCCGTTATTACAACCATTTTATGCTTCACTTAGATAAATATATGGAGGTAATAAAGAACATACAGAATCAGATTCCACATGACAAATTAAAGGCTGTTAAATTTTATTTTTTAAACCAAACTGGTCTTTAGGTTGTAGAAATGCAAAAAAGCACATTTAAGCATGTATGCTATCTATTTTTATGGCTCACAGTAGAAAATGATCCAAATAATTCAAACTAAGATTTGTGAGAGAAATCACAAAGCTTTGGACTTAAGAATGTGATAACTGAACCTTAACCCATTGTGAAATGGTCATATAGAAGTTAAATTTAATGTACACTTATACAGGTTTTCTGACTCCAAGTAAGATGACAAATGCTCTACAAAGTTCACACACAAAAAGTTATTCATGTAATTATAATTTTAATTAATGTATTAATCCTGTTCCAATGAATTTAATTGTAAATCTACAATTAATATTCGTAGTGCTTGGTTACCAGATGTTCAGGTAAAAATGCAAAATAAAAAGCTGCCATTTACCAGGCTGTTTCTCACTGAGTAATTTTGCTTCTTCTATATATATTTCTAGAGAAATGTGAGCTCGCTAAGATTTGGTTGAAACAAAATAACCTTTTTCATTAGAAAAATTAATATTTAGTTCTAAAAGGTTTTAACTTTCCACTATGCAGTTTAATTTCTTTTAATATATATTTTCCTTGAGATATGTCTAGCACAGTTTTTTGGCTGCTATGTAACATTAATGCTGCAAACATAAAACCAAACAAAATGTGAAGTGCCAATAAACATCCTGAAGTGTAGTAAAGGGGCTAATCTGATGCAAAGATCGCTGCTAACCAAGGTACATGGTAAAGAGAGGATACAAAAATAGTTCCTTCATCTTATGTAGAAAGCTCACTGTCAGCAAAAGTATTGTATTCGTATCTTACAGGTATAAGTCAATAAAGGCTGTATTCATATCTCACAGACACAACTGTTACGCATTTAGTGGGAAAGCAGAAGGAGCGGGGAGGCCATTTACTATGTTTAAAGCCACAGAACATTCAGGAGAAACTTCATCCCTTGTCAAGGCTATTAAACTAAACAATTTAACAGACACAAAAACAAATTCTTGATCTTTGCTCTTCAAAGGCAATCGAAAACATCATGTCCTAAGTAACTTAGTTTTAACATGGAATTAAGTAAAAATTTTAAAAATTACTTAAGACATTCAAGACTTCATATCTTTTATAAATAAGCTTTGTTTTACCTTTGCCTCTTCTGAAGGATTTCAACAGTCATTTCAAATGTAGGAATCATTTTCTCATAGAGAGCAAAGTCTCTAACAATTTAATAACTTTGTTTTAATACTAAACCCTAGTCCTCCACTGCTCAGTGTACCCTGAAACACATCAGGAACTGTGTTTGGCTGACAATGTTGGTGATGAGACATATAGCATCATTAACTTACAGTAATAGCATAAGGGTTTAAAGTAGTAGATTGATGTCAGGTTCAATTCAGTTTTATTTGTTTTCATTGCCAAGAAACATTACACTAAACATTGATTCCAGATTACTCATTTTTTCCCTAAATGTAGTGAGAAATTACTTTCACAAACACACCAGGAATCAAATGGAAATGCTCCACTGGGGCCTGATTTCTCTAGTGAATGGGCGTGTCTGAAAGGCCGGTGAAAGGAAAGAAGAGAAATCTGGAGCAGTTCTGTCAATTTACATATTTGCAAAATCTGGACCTTGTCAGTGCATCAACCCTCAGTCAACACAGAGACAGCAGTTGGGGCACAGGATACTTTGTTTTTTCTTACTTCTGTTAAAAATAATCTACTTAATATTCATACATGCATACAATGTGTTTTGATCAAATCCAGCCCCCATTCCCTCCCCTCCAATTCCTCTCCTTATACTTCCCATCGCTTTTTCCTCCTAACTTCATGTGCTCCTCCTCCCCTCTCGCTAATACCCATCAGTTCATTTAGTACTACTTGTATGTGCACAAATGTGGCATCTTCTACTGGAGCAGGGGTTTCTTCACATCTTGAAGTTTCCTGGGAAACCT